CCCCGGCCTTGTCGCCGGCTCGGGACCCCGCCTTGGGGAGCCGACGCCCCGACCCCGCGGGAGGGCCCGCGAGTCCGTGCCTCCGGCGTCGCCTGAAGTTCCCCTGATTTCAGTGCATTTATCGCCACCAAAGTGCCAAGCCTTGTCGAACAGAGTCTTGAGCGTCGTCACCATGACAATTTAACTGACGTTTCAGTTTAAGTTTAACCGAGGCCGGGGTTCGGACGCGCTTCCTACAGCGTTTCCAGGGTAGCGTGTTGGCATCTCCTTTGTGGCTGAGCGCAGGTTGCCCCTTTTGTTCGCGTCTTCCTCAGGGTCGCCGCGGTGCCGGGCGGGCAGCGCCGGGCCTCGTCCTTCTCCGCCCTCGGCCCGGCTCCCGCCGAGCAGCCTGTGCCCAGCCAGGATCTGGGCGGCCACGGTGACTTTAGAAGCTCCTAGGAGAAAATAAAATCTGGATTTTCCGGGAAGTTTCTTCCCCTGGCGCAGGCGCACTGCACCCCGCGCAGCGCACTACTCGTCGGAGGGTGGTCATCCGAGGACCCCCGAGGGCACCTCCCAATCCCTCCCTGCCTCGCCCTGTTCCGCAAGGTAAGCTGTGATTTGTCTCGTAATTCATTTGAAGAATGACCACTCGTCACCACAGCACTGAGAATTAAGCATCCCCAAAGCCAGGAAGCCCCCAGTTGGCTCCAGGAGTCCGCCGTTAACGTCAACACGCGTCCTTCGCATCCCGTCCCGTCGTTTACAGCACTGATTCTCTGTCAGCGCGAGATGGCAGTTTTAGGATGAAAAGCAGGTGAATGAGGAGGGCCACGGTTCACATTGGTGCCCTTTACTTGCTAAGGTGACCCGCAGTACCTGCACTGATGGGCTGGGGGTCCATGGGCCCACCTGTGTTGTGCTTAACAGTAGGAGAATCGGAAAGATCAGCACACGTGAGCTTGGAATCTGGTGATCCCCCGCCCCACTCCTCTCTCCAGCCACAGCCACCAGGAGGGCACTGAGTATTTGCATGTCCACCACCCGGGCAGTGGTCACCCAGGTGAGGCTTCCTGTTGGAGAGTCTGTTGTCCTGCAAGCACCCAACCCCTATTGATTGATCAGAGTAATTCCACCCAGTTACCTGATGTGTTCCTTGTTGAGAATCACAGTGGCTTCTTCACTGAAACCAGTTCTTCCAAGGAATAGTGAGAGTTGTGGAGGAACACATAGTACAATTCAGATTCTCACCAAACTTTTCATCACTTCATAGAAATTTTTGGACCCAATTACTTAGCTTTTTGGCTCTAATGAGATTTTTAAAACAGGAAATGAATTGCTTTTATTCAGTTAGTGATTACATACAATTCACATAAGTGAAGTGCAGAGGTCCAATTTGACCAGGTTTGGCAAATGCATCCGACTGTATAACCTGCACACCCTTCATGACAAAGGTGTTTCTGTCATCGCTGAAAGTTCCCTCATGTTGTGGGTTTATAGTCTGTGTCCCCCCCAGGTTTGTGTGTTGAAGCCCTGGCCCCCAGCTTGGTGATGTCTTGAGGTGGGGCCTTTGGGAGGTGATCAGCAGGAGGCGGGGCCCTGGTGGGATTAGTGCCCCAATAACAAGACAGAGAGACCTCCCCTCCCTGCTCTGCCCCAAGGAAAGGCCGTGAGGACAGTGAACGTCTGCAGGCCAGGAAGGGCCCTCACCATACACTGGGTCTGCTGGCACTTTGACCTTGGGCCCCCGCCCCCAGATTTGTGAGGAACAAGGTCTTGTCTAAGCTTCCCTGGGCTGACTGAGGCCTTGTAAGCCTTCCCAGACCTGCCCTGCCAGAAGCAGGCGCAGTTCTGATTTCTGCCGCCTCTCCTTAGTGGAGCCCGTGTTAGACCTATTTTAATGGAGCACTGGGCTGTGGGTAGCTGGATGCCTGTCCTGGAATGGCACTTGGGTGGGCCTCTGGGGTTGTCTCGTGTGACGAGGTTATGCAAATTTTTGAACATGTGTCCATCTGTGGCGCCCAATTGGACCTCTTTTCTGAAGCATCAGATCAAGTCTTTTGCCTTTTAAAAAATTTTCGAGTTGTATAGTTCTCTGTATCTTTTGGGTACGAGTCTTTTCAGATGTTATATAGTGAATGTTATCTCCCATTCTTTGACTTGCCTACTCTTTACTAATGGTGTCTTTTTAAAATTAACTTTAAAATTTTTGGAGTAGTTTTAGATTTACAGGAAAGTTGCAAACTGAGGCAAACATGTTGCAAACACGTGTCGAAGTTAAGATGGAACAGTGCTCCGTGATTGTTACCCAGCCTCCAGGCTTCAGGTTCCTTGCTTCCCCAGTGGCCCCTTTCTGCCCTGGGTCCCATCTGCAACCCCATTTTTTCATGATGTGACTGTTGAGGAGGGTTGCTCAGGTATTTTGTGGACTGTCCCTGGTTTGGGGTTTGTTGAATGTGTTTTCTTGTGTTTAGACAGGGTTTGTGGGTTTTTGGAAAGAGCAGCCCGGAGGTGAGGTGGCCCTCTGGTCACCTCACATCAGAGGCGCCTGATGTCCCCATGATGTCATGGGGGTGTCAGCCTAGCCACCAGGAGCTCCCCAGCCCCCTGCCCGCCCGTCGTTTGAGCCGGTCCTTCCTTTCTGGCACCACCAGCTGCTCCAGCTTCACTTCATCCTGTGTCTCTGCCTCAGCCTAGAATCACCGAGTTCTCGGGAGCTGGTTCATTTCACCGGAGAGCAGGGTTTGGAAACCAGGCCCGGGGCTGTGGGGGTGGGCACTGCTGCTGGGGTCTCATTGCCTGCAGTCTGTTCGTCCGCGAGTCTGTCATCTGTAACTGCAGTGCTTGCGTGTGACCTCCGCACTCCCACTGCCATCCAACTCCAGGGTGTGTTCATCCGTACACCCACCTTGGGAAGCACACACATCAGCTCATGGACCCTGCTTATATTCAGTTTCCTTTTATCATTGGTCTTACAGTTTCCGGTCAGAACACTGTCTTCCGTCCCTGTCAGGGTGTTGGTGGCACAGGCTGTGATACAGGTAGATTCAGTGGTCACAGTCTGCGTTCCAGCCTGCGATCCCTGACGTCCTGGTTGGTGGTGTTGATTTTTTTGCATCTATTGAAGCCGCTTCTCTGTGATATGTATATATGTGGGTTTTGACAAATGCATAGAGCTTATATTCACCATAATGGTGTATTTTAATGAGCAGAAGTTTTTCATATTAAGTTCAGTTTATCAATTCTTTTCCTTTTTTGGTTCGTGCTTTCTGAATCCTATTTAAAAGTCTTTGCCTAATCAAAAGTCACAAAGATAGTTTACTGTAGAAGGTTTATAGATTCAGTTTTGTGTTTGGCTCCATGATCTGTCTCTACTTGATTCATCATGTCATGTTTGTCCAGGTTTACTTTTTATTCCATGTGAGTAGCCAGTTGTCCCAGCACCATTTGTTGAAAAAACTTTCATTTCCTGACTGAATTGCTTTGGCGTTTTGTCAAAAATCACTGGACTGTGTTTGTGAGGGTCTGTTTCTGGATTCTCTTTTCTGTTACATTGCTCTGTCTGTTTATCTGTTCATCAATTCACACTGTCTTGTGACTTTACAGTAAATCTTCAGGTAAGATCCTGTAGGTCCTCCATCCTTGTTCTTTTTAAAAATTGCTTTGGCCAGACAAGGTTCTTTGCATTTTCATGTAAATTCTAGGATCAGTTTGTTAATCTCTTAAAAAAAAAAAAAAAGAAAAAGAAAAAGCATGCTGTAATTTTGATTGGGATTATATTAAATACTAGATCAGTTTGGGGAGAAATTACATCTTCATAATATTGAGTTCTCTAATCCACTGACTTGGGTTAATGGATACATCATACTCTTATTATTTATATTATATACATACACAACCCCAGTGTATGTATAAAGCAGTTTTAGAATTGTTCTCTGTGTGTGTGTGTGTGTGTTTATGTTGAGATGTGTAAGCCACTATGTATGTCTTTCCATTACTTGGATCTTGAACTTCTCTCAGCAGTGTTTTATAGTTTTCTGTGTACAGGTCTTACACATTTTTTATTAAAATTATCCCCAGAAACAGATTGTTTTTGAATGCCGTTGTAAATGATATTTAAGTTTTATTTTCCAATTACTTGTTGCTAGTACATAGAAATAACAATTTGCTTTATATGTTG